GGTTTGATGCATAATGGTGTTTGTGGAAGACCTCGTTTCAATGTCCGTAAGGAAGAGATTGAGTACTTAAGATCACTCTCCTTCAGTTGGAATTAAATTGCTGCTTTAATTAATATTTCTAGATCTACTTTATACAGGTGTGTGCATCATAATTGTCAGCTGATTGCAAATGTAATGGTTATATAAACATAATAGTTAAGTGTTAATTTTTCTTCTCCATTCTCCCGTCTGTCTCTCTTTGTATTGCTACATGTCCTGCATGTAAATTATTATAGTAAATATTAATAATAATAATTGAAAACTATTTATAACCTAAGTACTCTCAAGAAATTTGAGCTGCTCCACAAACACCGTACTGGCGTTGACATTCTGTAAGGAACTGCTCCACAGAGGTAAAATAATCATCCCAAGCTTGAGTCTCCATTTTAGTAATGTCCAGTATTGTCCACGCCCATCGATCAATTAAATTGTATCCCCTCCCATTTCCACCCAAGTGGGCCCCGTTTGGGGGTTCAGATTTTTTAGCTGAGAATACACGGACGTAGGGATTATTAGGACGTAGGGGTCCTGAGAATGTAGGGGTTATTAGGATGTAGGGGTCCTGAGAACGTAGGGGTTATTAGGACGTATGGGTCCTGAGAACGTAGGGGTTATTAGGACGTAGGGGTCCTGAGAACGTAGGGGTTATTAGGACGTAGGGGTCCTGAGAACGCATGGGTTTTGAGAACGTGGGGGTCATGCAATATAACGTAGAGGTTATTGCATTATTACGTATGGCATTTGCACTACGTATTTTTGACACAAACGGCTTGCCATAGATCTGAACCTGGGCAAGCCCGGGTTTTTGCCCAGGCATCAACTTTATAAGATAATGAGATTCATAATTAGATAATGAAATTCATATGCATCATCTTAAATAAACTTGTGTGTGTGCTTATTATGGCTTCTTTAATCTTTAAAACCACAACATGTGCACTGAAAAAAAGGACAATGAGTAAGCAGCATTAGCAGCTGTCTCTTCTTAACTACAATTTTAAACAGCCCCAACCAACTATCTTCTCATCCACAAAGCAGTGGAACAGTACAGGTAGAAGTGGAGATAAGAACAGATTTGAAAACGGAGATAAGAACAGATCAAAATTTTGTCTTAATTTATTATAATTATTATAAAAAGTTAA